GAAGTAAAATTTTTTCAGATTGGGTTAATTTGGAAGATAGTAGATGAAACAAAAACTGAGAAAACAATAATTTGAGATAGAAACTCAATTTTTATTTGTTAGGAGTTTTGTTATCACTTGCGTATTTCTAATTCCGAAGGTTTTCAGATTATAAACAAAAGAATTGCTCTTAATTTGTTCTAAAAGCCCAACGTAAAATTACAGCTTTGTATTCTCAATTCTTACATGTAGTTTTCAATGCTTTAAATAGCACCAATTTTTTCTCACTTAGATTAAAAAGCATAAAAATCAAGATTAAAAAGCGATTTAATGACTATTTTGCAAAAAAAGTGATAGTTAATGATCCCTAATTTTATCTCTGCCAGCAAAACGTTCGTTCAATTGATACTAATTTCTCCTAAATTCCACTGTTCTGACTAATTTTTCTTGCAAAGTGAGTTCAAAAGCGAAAACTTGTGACAAGCAGAGAGCAAAAATAACCTTAAAATATAAAACATTTCTACAAAAAAATCACGAAAATTTTGTTGTCGAAGCAACAGTGAAATAATCATCAATTTTGAAGAAGATTTTGTTGAATTTCATCCAATCTAATATACTTTAACAAAATTTTACGCCACTTTTAGTCCATTTTAGCAGCAAAATGTTCATCTTTCCTCAATGATTCCAAATCTATTTTTATTATTAACGTGAAAAAAAATCTCAGATGATGTAATATGTGGGTTAAGTATTGAGTAAAAACTGAGGAGGAGTTGAATCATGGAATTTGATCTAGAAATTTTAATAAATATTGCTCGTATCGTTCATTTGAACTGAAATTTTCAGATGAATTTTCCTTGAACTGGACAAAAAACCAGTTACTTACAGAAATAAAAGTTAAAAATGAAAAATTTTGGATAATTTTCAGTTTTTTTTTCTCAAAATTAACGGTTATTTACCCAATTTTCCCGAGAAATCGGAAGTTTCAATTTTGAATCACTTAATATGAGCTTTATATGTTCAGAGCATTATATAAACTACTTTTTAGCCCAAATTAGGGTAAAATTTATTTACCTCAATGCTGTTTTGCTATTTACCTCAATTACTTCAATGCTAGGGTAAACTTTATCATATTTCAAACTTTATCATATCCGTATTTTCATTCAAAGTATTGTATCACTGTCTCAACTTGATGCCAATTAAAAATCAATTTGAGCTTAATTCTGTACTCTACACGTTTTATAGTTTTTCAATTAGATTAGAAGCAACAAAAAACTAGTCAAAACCTTGAGATTTCTGCAATTCTTTCTAAAAACTTGAAATTTCTGCTATTTTTTCCGAAAAACTTGAAATTTTTGCTATTTTTTCCGGAAACTTTGCTTTTTTTTGTAATTTCAGTAGTTTCAGTGTAGTTTCAGCTAGATTGAGTACTGTTTTGAATTCATCTATTAAAATAGTTGTTAAATCAAATTATATCAAATCTTATCGTGTTTTGAAGTTTTTTGAAAAAAGTTTCATTTTTTTAAAATCAAAATTTCAAGTTTTGAACGTCTTAACATTGACTTACCATGAACTAAAAAACATCATTGCACACGTATTAAACCAATTACATAACGCGTGACGAGATTTTTGCGAAAAAGTATTTCTTCAACCGTTTATCTTACCATTCTCCTACAATCACACTGAAACCTTACCATACCCTATCATAATTCATTGGAAATCTATTCCTTATCTTAACACATTGAGAAACCTATTCCTTATCTTAATATATTGGGAAATCTTTTCCCTATGTTAATACATAGGGAGATGACCGGATACTCTATAGCCAATGTTAATACACAGGGGACCTCTCCCCCCCGCCGGACGATTTTGCCCCGACATATACTTCAGACACTAGTTTTTTGAACAAACTTCAGATAAATTAAATCAAATGAAACGAAGGAGCTAATTACCATTTTTTTTTGCTCTCAAAATGTTGTTGATGAGAACTTATTGCTATATTACACGGACTGGCTCTCTTGTACAGAGCTATAAAAAATAATGCTAAGTAAACGAATTTAGAATCAACACATACTAATTGTATCAGGCCAAAGCTTTAAAATTTTTGGCTGCCTTTGGGGCAGAATTTTTTTAAAACAAAAAAAATATCAAAAAAGAATCGAACGTTTTCAAAAATGTTCGTTTTTTGAATTTCAATCATACACCAATATAATCTAATTCCAATTCAAACGTCGAGTGATATATCATATTAAAGCTTTTTCAGCCCTGCTGCTTCGAAAGAATTTCAAAATGTCCAGTGTCGGGAAAAAGGTCAGTTTTCGAGTTTCAGTTCAATTTCGAGCGAGAAAGGGTTTTTATAGAAAGATAGCCAAGTAATTTTAATTTTACTTTGGTAATAATAATTTTGAAAAACTTACCGCGTATTTGAGATTAAAAGCTTCTAGAATTCTTAAAGAAAGAACTGCAAAAATGCTTTGCAAACTTAAGAATTTTTTTTTTTGGATTTTCAATGATTTTTTTTTGTTTTTCTTGACAGCTTTTGATATGACACTAATTTAAAAAATAATTTATTTTTAAGAAAATGGTCGGACCATTCTGTGCATCTTGCACATCAACGAGCTATTCTTGTGTTTTTGGTTTTTTTTTCGGTTTATTCGAAGGCAAAAACAAATTTATGCGTGTGATTGTGAAAATTTCGAGTTTCAACTTTTTCTGGCTCAATATTTCCTGCCAATATTTTTTCCTCATTTCATTTGTTATCTATGTAAGTGTTTTTGGCTTAACTACTGCTATTTAAGCCGAATGCTAGTTTGTGGTTAGAGTTGTTTCTTAAATTTTTTTCTGGGACACATACGTGCAAAAACTTTAAGCATTAAAAGTTTTGATAGGTATTCTTTGATTTTTTTCCAATTATCTATTTTCGACTGAATGGTTGTATGGCATTTTTGATTGTGTAGCTATCTTTGTGTTGTAGCGCAAAAGCTGATAACTCTGCTTCACCTCTCTAATAACTTTGATTAACTTTCTCAAAACTCATACAATTGTTGTTTCTAGAGATTACTTTTCCCTAAAAATTAAATAACCATGCTACGTAAATAATCTTCAAATGCGCTGTTGTGATAATTTTGTGTAAATCTTCAGTTTTACACAAATAAATTGTAAGGCCCTAAAATTCGAAGTACTTTGATTTGTTTTTGCGTCACAAAACTAAGAGAGAAAAAGAAAGAGAGAGAGAGAGAGAGAGAGAGAGAGAGAGCGAACGAAGATGAGACAGAGAGAAAGATAGACAGAAGGATCTGCGTAAGAAAATTTGTTACAAAACTGAAATTAACCCTAAGCGAATCGTTTAAGGAAAAAAAAAGATTCTTACATCTGCTATGAACTCTTTGATAGTTTTGCTTTAAAACATTCTTAAAAGTTTAGGTATCGCATAAGAAAAACGTAATTACAACGCCAAGTTTGGTTTAATAACAGAGCACAAAAGAGTGCTCGCTTGCTTTCAAAATCCACAGAAACATGTTATAAAACTATTTAATCAATAATCTATAACACATTAATGTTATAATACATGTTATTTTTGCATCTCGCCTCGAAATTAAACATTACTAAAAGAATTACAAAAGAAGTTCGTTAAACAGCCCGCCGGAAGTCTCAATGAAACAGCGCATCCTTGCAACCAATTTTACATTTATACCAGTACATTAGTTAACTAGCTTTTTACTGATTGAAGCGCTATCTCGATGTAATTTAATCAATGTTTTACCGAGGTTGATTATAGAGGCGGGTTTCTAAAAACAACTTTTCTTAAGTTTCATCAATAACTTTCGAAACTTCAATCAAGTTAGAAATTTCAATCCCAGGGGAGGTCTCCAAGAGAGCTCTCGAGTTCTTTGTTGTCAATTTGATGAAAAACAATGAGCGTACGGTTGTCTTACTGACACAAAATGCATTCCATATGTTCGCAAAAGGATCAGTTGTGAATGTCTCATCGATAGCCGTAGTTAGACATACTTTTTTCTCATTCAAGTAATGACTCAATCTCAAAAAGCTGCTCTACATATGAAGTTTGATAAATGAAGCACAGTGCTGATTTAAATTATCCGGACGAAACGAACAAAACTTGAATTTTCAAACGCGTTTTTCTCAAATTGGGTTAAGATTAGACAAAAAGTGAAGAGGACAAAAGTTGCTTAGAACTTCACCAGAATTAATATGGTGCCATTTTTCTCCGAAATTCTCAACAAAAATTATACCCCAAA